GTGGTCTGGTGGTCACCTCAGTGCTGAGGGGTCGGTCTCTCCCCGGCCAGGGTCTGTTCCTCCCTTCGAGGGCCGGAGGGGCTGGCAGAGCCGGCCCGGTGTGCGCGGGTTGCGGACGGAGTGGTATCGCGAGTGTTTCTTCGGGTGTTTTTTATCAATGGCGATGGCCCGTCAGGGTGGGATGGTTAACGGGCGCCTTTAAGCCAAAGGGCCTCTGCAGTTCAGCTTCATTTTAACAGGCACCTTTTAAAAAAGGGGGAACTGAGGTAACGGTGTGCTGGTACCCTCAGGACGTATGTCGAAACTGTGCTTTATCTAAAGGGAACCCCCAAACCTCTGGCCACCAGAAACTTCAGCAAAATATTAGTAAGCCATTTACCAGCCTGGGGGAACTTCTTAGTTGCTTGGTTATTTGGCGGTAAGAGTAAGTCCAAACCAGTGGCTAGTAAGTGATCTAATAATACAAGTATCACGAGGATACAGCGTCTTTGAAACGTGCCGATGCTAGCTTTACATTTCTCTTTTAATTCCAGGTCGAGGAGTTGAGGTGTTGGCCCTTCTGCTGAAGGTGCCTTTTAACATAGGCAGTGGTCAGCGCCAGAGCAAGCGGCCAAGTTAATGTTGCCAACTGGCATTTCACCCTTCCAGGACGTCACATTTGGTATAACTCCTGCCTCTGAGCCAAATGTAAGGTATACGTCCATTCAGCTCTCAGTGTGCCCTTTGAGAGTAGCTATAATGAGTGCCTGCTGTCATATTGCCTTTGAACCCTGTCAGTAGGAGCTGCCTTTGCCGAATAGGTCAAGGGCTGAACTTCAGAACCCCTTCAGCCGTCAGTGGGTGGAATTACAGCACTAATGGCACTGTGAGCTTGTCTTATCTACAGCCTGCGTCCATGGCATGTCTTGCTGCTGATAATCTCCTCAGCAAAGTAATTCTTGTCCCTTGCCCCTGCTGCAACCGGTGCAATAAAATGTCAAGGGGGGTGTACAGCACCAAGGATACAATGCATCTTCCTTGTTCATATATCATAACATGGGGTGGGATCAGGCAAAAAAGGCTCGCTTCAGGGAAAGCCTCACCTTTGGCACGTCAATTTTATCGCAGTTGGATCAAGACAACATGGGTGATACACTGTTTATATTGTGGGTGCAGCTCAAATGGATTAGGTAAAGCTAGCTCTACTACATCTAATGAGGAAGACCAGGATTTTCCTGCAGTAGTACCACCACGGTTGATGAGCTGATCTTAGAAACTGAGTTATACATTTAAGTGAAGACCAAAGCTGCTCTGGCACCTACAGCTATCTCATTTTTGTAACTGAATCTTCTCATTTTATTTCTTTACAGATGTTGTGTGTAGGAGTGCAGGCAGTTAAGATGCTAAGACACGGGGTCATGTATAATTCTGCAGTGCTGCTCCCCGTGGTGTCTTTGTTGTGAAGCTAGTGGCCAGATGTTTGGATATATGTAGTTGGTAATAGCACTGGTAAGGAATGTCACAGACAATCTGTATGCCAGAATCTGAGAACTTTAAGCATGTGTGAGGAGACCAGTGTGTCTTCTACTTTCTCTGTTGCCATTTCCTACAGTAGTCACCCTTCCTGCTGTTTTCTGTTATGCCCTTTTCTACCCCATTGAACCTTTAGCATTTTAAAAGCCTAAAGCTATAAAACCAGTATGCCTTTTTGCCGGGATACCTCTATTGCTATGCATACAACATGGCAAACGTACCTTGAAGGCTGTACCTGGCTGGTGTTAGTATCTGAGCTGTTTACTGATTCAAGCTCAGAGCCTTCCTTGTTCTGCCCAGTTTCCTCCTGCATGTCACTGCTGTCCTCTGTGCTCGACTTCCCTTCTGTCCCCACATACAAATGCGCAGAGGACTTGAAAGTATCTAAAGTACTACTAAACTATTTTATTTTTTTGGTTAAAGTATGCCTTAAAATTTCTTTGCCATAGGGTTCCCACCCTCCTGAATAACCTTTCCATTTTCCCTTTGCTCCCTGTGACTGTTACCCCTTTGCAAAGAAAGGGCTCTAGCAGTCTCCCTGCATGCACACATAGGCCCTCAGCTTCTGGGCATTATGATTGACCTGTTGTTGAATGCTGTGTTCAGTAGTGCTTCACCCAGAACAGAGTAAATCATGTGTAGTAAGTAAGGTAACCACCTTGGGTTGAGGCTTAATACCATAGGCAGGTGGACAGAGACAGGAGCTGAGGGGATACACCACCTTATAGAGCCTCCCGCACTTGGCTGTGGTTTGGTGACTGTACCTGCAAAGTGCTGGAGGTCCCCAAACCATTAGTGGGATTCTGTAGCTAAAGGAGCTGTTCTCTTTCACTGTGACTTGCTCAGTCATGCAAATCACACAACTTATAACTCTGGCTACTGTTTCCCCAATGCAAAGGTTAAGGTGGCACACACCTACTGGTCAGTACTTATTAGATACCCTCAGAGGACAGAGGATCTTTTCTAAAGTTTGGTGGTTTTGTGCAGAACGGGTTTTGTCTATAGTTCAGTGAAGCATGTGGATTCAATATGAATTTTTTTTTTCTTGTTTAGAAAAGTGCGTACGTCTGTATTGGTTATTTTTGCAGTAGATTTGAGTTTTAGAATGCTAGCAAGCTTTGCATGCAGGGTCATAGAGAAATGTTTGCGAGATTTCAGAATTTTAATTTTGGTATAGTTCTGCTGCTTCTTCGGAAATGTTTAATAGCTTATTGTTATATTAAACAATACTACTCCCTATCTGTGCTGAAAAACCCCAGGTACCCTAGAACAAAACCATGACCAACATCCGTATGTTAGTATGATCTGCAGGTGGTGGTAGCTCTGGTTGTTGTAGACCAGAGGGAAGGTTACGGTGTTTTCATCTTTGCAGTGCATGTTAAAACATAAGTCTTTAACTGTGACTGAGGTGGGCCTGGAAACTACAGAGTAGGTGCTATAGTCTGTCAAGAAATCCAGAGGATGAGGGAACTTCAGATGACATCAGGTTATATTAAACTCTTCAAATAATATGTATCAATCCAATAGTGTATGGGTTCTACTTCCAGGAGTACTTGCCTGGTCTTTCTACCTTGTAGATTGTCTATTTGTCTTATCGTCAAAGCCAACATGCAGATTTTGTGGAGTATGTGTTATAAAACCTTTTCTAATGTTGTGATTGTTAGCAGTTCGCATTCAAAACGTGTGCCATTCAAATTCTTTGTGCACTTTGCTGTGTGGTTTCCAGTGGTCCCGGCGTGGGGGCTGGTGGCAAGAAGCTATTGTGTCTTGAAAGTGTTGTGGTAGTCTGCTCATGGTTTTGTGGCAATATTTTTTAAGTTCTGGAAAGTGTCCAAAATCCAACTTTCAGCAAGCAAAATGACTTGAGAGCTGTTGTACACAAATTCTTAAAACCACTCTTTGTACATTGGCACAGCTAATGAAATTAATGAAACAACTTTTCTAAGTCTGGTGGTTGTTTTAAAGTATATATCTTAGGTTCTAAAGATTTTGTTTAGTTTCCAAGACTGCACAACAGAGTCCATTGAGAGATAATGCTTTCTAAAAGGTGAAAACGCAATTGTTGTTAAAACTGCAAACTTTTTGGGACACAAAGCTCCTGGCTCATTTACCGTGTTTTCTCAAGTGGTAAGCTGAAGATGGAACCTATTTTGGATACAGCTGACTTTTTTCCTTCCCTTCTAAGCAAAACAAATAACTATCTGAAAAGCTATGAATAAATCCTAGAAGATTTTTTTTCAGGAAGTGGGTTTTTCTTTTTCCCGTGCAGCTGATGAAGCTTAGAGCATATTTCACAGGGATGCAGTTACTTTTCTCCGTTCTTGCCCATATCTGTTGCTTGGGTACCCTTAGATATTCAGTTGCATTTCTTATGCAGCTCCTCAGCAGTATTGCTGACTGGACAGTCATGAAGGCTGTTTTGGGAGGACATTTTGGGTTTTTTTTTGGTGTAGGCATGATGAATATGGTTGCCTGGCTGAGGTGAAATTTTGTATTGTAATTATGGGTGATAGAAGTAGTAGCATCTGATTAGCATGGAGTGCTATAGGGATGCTACTTCTAGCAATATAGAAGTGCTCTTTCTATGCCACTAGTATAGAAATACATTCACAGGACATATATTTCTATTTTTAGGTACGAAATCCTTTAACTTCTTGGCATTGTTGGAAAAACAACTTATTAGTTATTTAAAAAGGGAGTGTCCATGTACTCTTCCATAGTTGAATGAATGTTTTTTTGGGGTGGAACTTTTAATGTCAGATCCCAGTACTGTGTTGGCCTTGAGCAGAATTAGACCCAGGAAATCATCTGATGGCTAGAAAAAGAGGAATGCAAGCAAACCTCTGCTACTGGTTTTGTGTAGGAGCTGCCAATTTTGACTCTACTGTGCATGTACTGAAAGCAGTACGACTTTGCAAATAGGCTGTCCCTGATCCTGTATTTGCTATTTCGGGTGTGTGGGGGAGTGTGTGTGAAAATAAAAGCTGTATCTCTTAAAACTAAGCCCTGAAGGAAATGCTTCTCTTCTAGGTATACTGCAGCATCCAGATGGGACTGTCCTGAAGCAGTTGCAGCCACCACCTCGTGGTCCCAGGGAGCAGGAGTTCTACAACAAGGTGAGGGTCCTGCAGCGTGGAGGGATTTGGCTTGCTGCAGGTGAATTGATGGATGTGCTTCTGTAGAAGTACATCCTTATTGTTGCAGTTGGGAAAGTGTGACGTAAATACCCGAGCGGTAGGTCACTGATAGCCCTGTCGTGGTATCTGTGTGCTGTCTAGAACTTACTCCTCTGAATGTCTGTCCCCATGCTGACTTTGCTCACAGGATTTAAGCTTGCTTATTTGCTCATGGGACAGTGGGGTTTTCACAGCATCTAAGATTTTATTGGAAAGCCTTGCATTATCTCCATCTATGATTAAAGGGTGGTATGTTTGATCACATCTTTCTCACATTGCTGAGTGTCTCAGAATTGGTTGCATCTAAATTTAGCATGTCTTACACTTCCGTCTAGCCTGGATTATTGCTAGAAGCATTGCTCTGTTCACTGAATTAAAACTGTTCACTGTATTAAACCTCAGCTCCTTTAAAAAGTCAATAATAAGTGAAACTCCTCAGTTGTTTTAACTTTAGTTTGTTGTATTTTTCCTATTGCTCATCTTCAGTTTGCTTTATCAGTAACTTTAATAACACAAACCAGGAAAGCTGTTGCTTGTTGTCCTATGAGGGTAAACTGGTTTTAGAGCCTCTTTCCCTTACTGACCTACCTGTCCATGACAGTCCATCACGTGTTTTTTCTGTATCAGCTTGATATGTCATCCCTTTCCTTCGCTTATTAAGTATGAAGAACTGTAGAAACCTTCATGCAGGAGGAGAGAGGAGTCTTGAGATCCTCTTTTTGTTGTGTTCTTTGGTTTGTTTTTCTGTCCTGTCCTGTCCCGTCCGTCGTGCCCCCACAAAGGACCTTACATATTTTGTGGAAGTGTCTTATATTAAGACAGACTAAGCAACACACTCTAAGTGAACAATGTGTTTGCATACTAGCATTGCTCCATAATTCTAATGATGGGACTGCTAGACAAAACAGCAGCTCTTGAGTTAGTAGCAACTCAGCAGGAGCCAGTTAAATCTAAATGTAAATATTTTTCTGAGGTTTCTCAGTGACTGTCATTTAGATGAGGTTAAGAAAGATGCAGTCCAGCCTGAGTAGTAACTCTTCAGTAGAAGGAGAAAGCCTGAACAGACTCCTTTCAGTGCCAGGCTGCTTACTCTTCTGTGAAATCCTGAGGTACAGACAGTAATGTGCTATCGCTGTCTATAGCCAGCGGGTAAGAGGGATAAGCTTGACAATTGCTTAGACATTAACTGTTCACAGCGCAGGCTTTATCATTTTGCCTGTTGCTTAGACTCACGTGACAAGCTGTGAGCAAGACTCAGGCAAAATCTTAGAGAAGGAGGTCTGTGTTAGTGCCCTCGTTACTATACCATGTCATAGTGGAGGAAGGTAGCTTCAATTATGTCTTCCAGGGCCTTGCTGGGTCATTTATGACACTGATTTTTTTTTTTGTTGTTGTTTATAAACCATTTGGGAAAGGGGTTGGGCAATTCTTGAAAAATAACGCAAAAAAGGGGAAGATGTATACACAATTAGTTGTGCGTGGACTAGAATGCCTTTTTGTGGGAGAAAGGAAGGAGAGCAAATGCATGTACATTATGTAGGTGAAAGTACAGGAGAAAGGTCTGGAGGATTTATTGCTTCTCAATGATTAACTACTATCATGTTTGCTCTCAGGCAAGAACCACGTGATGCAGGATATAGACACCTAGAGCACTACATATGGTTGTTACAAGATGAGGATTACTGTGGATTGCGAGGTTCAGTGTAAGGTACAGTTTCATGTCCAGCTTGAGCTGATACAATAGCTCACTGCTGCCAAGAGGGAAAGGCCTTTCTTCCCATTCTTGCCATTTACCTTGTGCCGTGCTGGTGCTTTCTGGGCACTGATGAACTGATTTGACTTACTTAAAAGGTGGCAAAACTTCCTTGCGTTGGTAGTCTTCTGTCACTTCTAGTGATTAAACTGCTAAGCAGAGGGAACAACAGCAAGACTGCCCTGTTTTGGTGACTGAGCTCAAGGCATCTTGTATTCTATAATCAAAGAGATATTATCACCTTGGAGTAGGCTAATATGCCTCCAGAGAATGGGGGAAGGAGAATTTTACCTCTTCTTGAGGCAAGGGGTTGTTTACAAGGCAGTCAGGTACAGGAGATGCTGAGAAACAGTGCAGAAATGAAACAAGTGAAAACAAGACTACTGAATCCCAGGCTGTCACTTTGTCAGGACTAGACAGCAAGTCTGTTGATAAGATCAAACCAGAAGGTTACCCATTAGTATATGTGGATTAATCGTGTGGGTTTTTTTGCATTTCTGCATCTATTTTTTGCTATATGCTTGTAATCGTTTTGTCTATAGTGATAGATCAGTTATTGCTTCCTTTGCATGCTACCTTGCCCTGGCCTGAATTAAGATTAGTACCCCAGTACCTGGGCCAGAAACAGGTGGGGGCTTTTACTTGTGGGTAAAGCAAACCTCCTCAGCTGAAGTAATTGGGAACCTCCATAGTTTATGGTAGCAAGAAGATGAGCATGTCTCAGTTTCAGCTGCACAAGTCATCCGGAGAGCAGCTATCGCAGATCTGAGGCAGAAGTATCTTCTAATAACCAGCAGTGACCAGGAAGTGGTATTTTCAGCATGCAGTCTATGAGTGCTTGTGAACTGAAGGTTGCAGGGAATGTGTCATGATAGAAGATAATGAGGCACTAAGAGACAAGTTTGGCTATAACTCTAATATATTTAACCTGATACCAGGTGGATACTGTCTTCTATCTGGACAAGACAGTCTTCTCTTCTGAAACTGCTGAATTTGCCTTCGGCTGGCTGTGTGAACATGACAGAAGGCCATAGTCTATGTCAGTGAATCATCAGAACTTTTTTTCCCCTGGTTATTGATGGGTTATTTTCTATTGAGCATGAAGCCAAGTGCTGACTGGTAGAGCCCAAACAAAAGGGGCTTCCATTTTGGAATGGAAACTGGAGTGAGACACTGTAGTGCAAAATATTAATTGCAGTCTGAAACCTGCTCAGAAGTGGGTGGCAACTGGAAGTTTTGAAGAATTTCACAGGTCTCTGTCAAAGTGGAAAACTGGAAAATCTCTCAGGTAATTTCTACTTGGACTGCCATTAGGTTACCTTTCTGTTTTCCTGATAGTATGTTTTCAGTTTAGCAGTTAAAAAAAATAAAACAAACAACAACCACCCAACCCACCCTCTAAATACACATCATCTTTCTTAAGAAATTATTTTCTTAAGTAAAGAAAGAATTACTTTCTTAAGTAAACCAAACTTTTATCTCTACTACAGCAATATGTGTCATTCTCTACTGATGGGGAAATGGCTTGCTATGATTCTCTGTTACAAAGGAGGGGAAAAATAGAGTATGACAAGATTATCGTGAATACCTGGGAAGTGTTCAAGGCCAGGCTGGATGGGGCTTTGAGCAGCCTGGTCTAGTGGGAGGTGTCCTTGCCCATGGCAGGGGGGTTGGAACGAGATGATCTTGAAGGTCCCTTCCAACCCAAACCATTCTATGATTCTATGAGAAAATGTAGGAGAACAATGAGCTGTTTGTAGTCATTATTAATAACTTACTATGTATTGATTAATTTATCATTGGAGTGTGACTTTCCAGTGGTAAAGTCCACTTTCTGTTGAGTTCTGTAAATATGAGTAATTATCAAATCAGAATAATCACATTTTAATTTTGTTCCTGCAAACTCCCTTCCTGTACCCGAGGGCATGAACTTAGAAACATAGGCTGTATAACCATGGAGTGTTTTATCAGGTCTTCTGGCACCCTTATCTGGGTAGAAAATTTGGAGTTTTTTAACCTTGAATAGCTACAAAATACTTCGTTTTCAATAGGTATGAGCAGCAAGAGAATGAAAAAAAACATGAAGTAAAAGGGTTGTGTTTTTTTAAGGACTATCTACACTGATGATCAGTTGTTTCCATCTAATGGAAATACTCGGTGAGAATGTGTAGGCGGAGATGCTCTAAAGGACTGCTTTTAAAAGGAGTTTCAGGATGGAACCGTACACAGAGATGTGGAAACAGAAAAATAATGTTGTTTGAAAATGCAGTATAATATATTATGTAGTAGTGACCCATTTCCATTAAAGAAAATAAATTGGTAAAAGGCAGTATGTGTTTATGGTAGGCTGCCTACACATGCATGCTAAAAAATCCACAAAAGCGGGCTACTACTTGGTGTGTTTTAATATTTGGCTTCAGCCTGCTTTATGCCAGGGCACATTTATACATGCTGAAACAGCCTGATTTAATTCAGCAATGTTGGGAGAGGGAAGGGAAGAAGCCTATCAGCCCTCCTACAGTGAGCTCTTCTGGCAGATGAGCGGGGAACTGCGAGAAAAGCATCCTTTGAAAAGGTTAGTGCAGTCACTGTATGAGGTAAAGCCTCCCTGCTTAGCTGGGTACAGAGCTCTTGTCTCAAACATGCCAGGCTGTACCCAAGAGCACTGTGTGCTAGTGTCTTCCTATTAAGAGTATCCTCTTCTGCACAGAGTTTTTCTTAATTTGTCAGGTCAAGAATGTAGCATTGCAGCAACCGCTGTCCTGTTGGTGCCCCGAAGAGGGGGAGGAAGCTGGAATGTCAGCCTTTAAATAGGGCAGCGGCTTTTGCAGGCGCAAAAGGATAGAGCTTGGCCTGCAAGTATTTAAAACTGAGGAAGAGAGAATTAACAATTGTTGAGGTTACCTTTGTGACTACAGTTTCCTACAAGCTGTGTGTTCAGCACTGAGAGATGGAGTGTTTCTTACATTCAACAGAACAAGAGAAGGTTGCTGAACTGTTTTGAAATGGCAGCTCTTTCACTTCTGATTTTCGGCATTCGATTGGTAGGCCGGTAAACCTCTGTTACTGTGTTTACCTGTTCTGAGCATTGCATACTGAAGTTTTAAAGGTTGCTAATGCAGTAGCTAATAAACTGGGATTTTATATTTAATGGATCAATAAATGTTCCTGTAAACTTTTATTTTAA